AGAAGTAACTCAAGGGGCCGGGAAATCCAAACAAGTATTGGCTCTACTGGCACGAGGACCTGCCTTGGAATAACCAACACCCACAGAAGGGTGGGAGGGAACCAGGCCCAGCAGTGCAAACCTACAAACTCAGTGCAGAAGAGGAAGAGGAGGGAAGAACCTCTGCTGGCCAGCCACTCTGGCCACCATCAAGATCCGAGTTCACTGAGAGACACTGTCTCAAAACTAAATTAGAGGGGCCAGATGGCCTAGCAGCTCAGGGCACTTGTTGTTACAGAGGATCAGGGTTCAGTTCCCAGCACTCACAACCGCCTGTAACTCCAGAGTCCAGGGGCGCCTTCTCAGGCACCTGCATGCATGTGTGCATACTCACACCAGAACATACATGTAACTAAAAAATAACATCATGTATATATGTGTGTGTGTGTGTGTGTGTGTGTGTGTGTGATATATAACCAAAAAATAAAAGCTTAAAACCAATGGTAAGTTGGAGGGCAGCTGAGCTTCTGATGTTGGCGCCTGGTCTGTAAATTAAGCACAGGCCTTCCGCCAAGGGAAAATAAATTAAAAGTTACAGTTTTCTTCACTTCTTGACGGATACGGTCAGGTGATCTGAGGACCTGGTTAAGCATCCGCATCTCATTACACAGTAAAAGAGCATTTATTGATGGTGGTGGTGGTGCACACCTTTAATCCCAGCACTCAGGAGGCAGAGGTAGGTGGATCTCTATGAGTTCGAGACCAGCCTGGTAGACAGAGTGAGTTCCAGGATAACCAAGACTACATGGAGAAACCCTATCTTGAAAAACAAAACAAAAAGCAAACAAACAGAAGAAAACAAGAGGATTTATCTGTGAAGGGTAATGGGCTTTAAAGAGAATGAACACACTTCAGTTCTGAAAATGCTTTGGAAGACAGACTAAGTTCAGTCTTTATGGAAATGATGGATTTACAGCCTGGAATTACGTAGCCCAAGCTGACTTTAAATTCTCACTAGTCTCCCTGTCTCAGATGTGAGTTTCCATGCTTGGCAACTGTTAGAATTACCTGGGCTTAGTCTACGGTAACCACTACCTAACTGCTCCTAGGTTTAACACAGAGGAAAAGCACAGAACGGGAGACTTGGGTGAGGGGCCAGACAATGGCTGTGCACACTCAAGCACATTTAGGTTCCCATATTTAGAAACAAAGATTTCCTCCATCTCCATTGGCATTTTAACATTCACGGCACTTACTTTAAGACCACAGAAATGAGCTAGGCCTGGAGGCCTAGGACTGTGATCCTAGCTACTTGGGAGGGTGAGGCAGGAGGATGGCAAATACAAGGCCTGCCCAGAAAACACAGTGAGAATTCCCAATCTGAGACCTAACAAGACCTGGTCCCCAGATTTAAAAGTAAAGAGAGAGCTAGGGACATAGCTCAGTGATAAGATAGCTGCCAGTATACATTAGGCTGGAAGTTCAAAGCCCAGTACCAAAAAAACTATAGATATATACATTTGTCACACATACCTGTCTTCACAAGTGAACGGCAATGATCATCCCCTCCCCCGCCACACACACCACCATATCCACCTTCCTAAAATGACCGACTCGTTCAACCACCTCTGTGGACCCAGTGTTCTCAACCTTCTCCTGCCTCAGCGCCATTACTCCATGACAGGGCAGGGGTGCTGACATGCATTCTACACTCTCAACAAGACGTCTGGATTTCACAAGGTGACAGATAAAATCAGCTGGCCTTGTGCAAGCTTCCCAAGTCCCTGCCTGTCATTTCACTCCTGCTGTAATGACCCTGGCTGAGTACTCGCCATTTGCCAAGCACCCAGGTGCACCGCACATGGCAAACGACTTCATTCCCATGGGAACCTCCAAGGCCCATAAAATGATCCTCACGAGGCCAGCAAGGCACAGAGTCTAAGGAGTCTATCAGGCTCACAAAGACAGCGGACGACAGACTTTGGGATCAAATCATGTGGTCCCTGGGTTATGTTCTGACACACTTTATTCCGGATGCACACAAAGGAACCATCATCATACAAAGGATTGCTTCCAGCATGTTGCTCTATACCATATACAAACTGCATCTTGTTATTAAAAGTGAGCGTGCCTTAGCGCTGCAGGTGTGGCTGAGTGTTCTGTGCTCTGTCCTGCAGCGATCCACCTGAAAACGACCCTGAGACCTTACTGCTTTCCAAGGCGGAGTTATGAAAAATGATTAACTTGGCTTTCCTATCGCTTTTCAGTGAAAGTGTGTTCACCCTAAGGTTGCAGGAGGGCGGGAGAGCCACCGACAGACAGCGTCAGTCTTTTGATATGAGGTCTGCTCCTCTAATGACGAAGGGATGCCGGCGTGGAGAACCAATTAAGACTAAACTGGAAACTCTTAAGTACTCTGGGGCACTTCGAATAGAAAACGAAGCTCAGTGAAGCTCGCGGTGAACCCCATTTTCAGAGCTGCACTAATTAGAACCAGCTGAGATTCTTAAAGGTCTCTCTTCGTTGTACAGACAGGCTCAACGGCAGAGAGAGCGACTTACGAATCACGGTGTGTGCACCTTCATGAATGACCAAGGTTGGAAAGAACGCAACAGAAAATGACACCAAATACGACTTCCTAGGAAGACGATCTCATTTGCTTCCTAGGAAGACGATCTCATTTGCTTCCGACATGTTTTCGTCAGCCAGGAACTCCTAATGAGCAGGCTTGTTCTGAAAATCACACTTAGTCCAATTCTAAAATCTGAGGGCAACAGCAATTAAAAATCCCATTTTTACAGCCGCCTTGTTAGAAGCTGTTTAAAGACCAGACACGCAACGCCACCTACAGGGGACCTTCGGAACCACAGTCCTCGTCTCTGTCCCACACTCTGAGTTATTTAGCATTCAAAAAATCTTACTCTACATTTAATCAGAAAGCTCGAGGAAAGGATGAGAAAGACATATAAAAAGATCCACTGCTGTTTGGATTACTACTTCCTAAAATTACTAAAACCAACCTAATTTCATCAAATACGACCCAGACACACAGCTATAAACGGGAGCAGGAGAGACGCAAAGTTACGCAACCTTTGCAGCTTCTAAAGTTCTGCAGAACATGGAGGAGACTCGGGTCACTGGTGAGAAGTCTGAAATCTGCCTCTTTGAACTGTGGAACCGCTCTTCCCCATGTTCCTTCTCAAATTTCTCCACATTTTCAGGCACTCTGACAGCGGGTACAGTTTCTGAAGTTGTTCCATAGGTTTTAGACTGAGCTCTCACTGTGCGGGACAGGCCACACTAACCACAGACCATTTCCTTTTTAAATGTTCTCTCTTCTCTCTGACTGCCCTTTTGGGAAGCAGACATGTGTCCTTATGGTACCGGCTCTCAATTTAGGATCAACACTAAAGCTATCTGGAGTCCTTCAGTAACATCACGCTTCTTGTTTAACCCGGCGTAAATGAAATTTGAGCATAGCATAGCTTGACTTTGATTTACTCCCAATTTTTCACGTGACCTCACCATGTAGAATGGTTTACAAAACACTGTCTCAGTGCAGGGCTGCAAGACCTGCCCAGTTGACTTCCGCCTGCATTCTGGAAGTCGTTTATGGGCCCCACCGTGCACAGTAGCAGACCCTACCTGTTCAAGAGAACCCTGAACTCATGTTTCCTTAGACAATAGCAATCACTCGGACAGTTGGTGTGGTCTGGCTGATGCCCAGCTAGAGAACCCTGAACTCATGTTTCCTTAGACAATGGCAATCACTCGGACAGTTGGTGCGGTCTGGCTGATGCCCAGCTAGAGAACCCTGAACTCATGTTTCCTTAGACAATAGCAATCACTCGGACAGTTGGTACAGTCTGGCTGATACCCAGCTAGTGGCATCACCTCTGCTGTCTGTTGCACCTGCCATTATTTTTGAGGTATGGTCTTATGTGACCCAGAATGACCCTGAACCCACCATCTTCACCTTCCAAGTGTTGGGGTTCCAGGTAATCACTGGGCAGCCCTCGCTGGAATACACATTGCTAAATCTTCCAGCCCCCACCTCACAGATCAATTCCCAGGCCGGTAGGGTCCGCCTGCCTCCTGCCTCACCGTGCTCACAGCAGCCCAGTTCTGCCCAGAGCTCCGGTCTGAAACAGCCAAGTCACTCTTCCAGGTCAACACAAGCCTGAGAACAGAGGAGCTGGCCTCCCCTTCGCCTTCAGCAGACCCCAGCTACCCCGTGCCCATCTTCTGGTGGTTCCCAAGAACAGGGCCCAGCTCCATCACAGGCCCCAGTGTGCAAATCCCAAGCTCTTCCAGGATGGGGGTTCACCCAGGCTTCTGTGTGGAATGGAGTTGGTGCTAAGAGTTAAGTCCTGCAGCAGAGCTCAGTCAGGGTTGGCCTCATTCCAGAACAGGGAATTTTAAATTCTCATTTAATTCTGTTACAAATTAATCAACTCCAGTTCATCACCCCCTTAGGTCAGGTTCCCAGAGGCAGTGATCCCGGAGGACTGGTTAGGGAGTGGGCCTAGTTAGCAGGGAGCGCAGGCAAAAAGGGTGTGGTTTCCAAAAAATTGGCACTAAATTGCTCCTTGTGTGCTAAGCCAGCTGGACTACATACATAGAGTTCCAAGGAGAAGAAAGAGAAAGTGGAGCGGGGTGGGAAGGGGGGTCAGAAGCTGAGGGCGTCTCAGGCCTATGCTCAGGTATGAATTCCGTGCTATTGAGCAAGCTGCAAAGTGTGAGCTGTTACCTCCAAAGCATCACACATTGAGCCTTTCTACTCACTGCCTGGGGCAAACTGCTTCAAGAGGAGGTCCATACGGACACAGTATTTTGAAAATGTTACAGTAAGCAAGCTTTAGAAACCTAAGAAAGTTCCCAAATAAAGCACTGTTCTGAGCTCTGAGTCTTGTCTCAATGTCTCTAAACGGAGCTGCTATTGCTTTCTGGAAGGCAGTTGTTCGCTGAAAATGTTCATCTCTTCAAAGCCGTTTTGGAAGCATTCAGAGTCACAAGGTTTCAAACATGATGTTTATTCCAACACATGAAATGTGCCATCTAGCACCAATGACTGAAAATTCCAGAATTCCATCTGGTTACTACTTTTTGGAACTGGTAGTGTTGTTCAAGTCATTGACAGATTAGTCTATGTGAGCAGATTGGAACAAAAATGAGACAACCAGCAAAAAGCATTTGATAAATGTACACTGAACTAAGTTTTAGTTACTCAAAAAAAATCAGTTTCATATAAACATGATGTCTTAATACTGGTATTTTCAAATCAGATTTTCTTGGACGGTATATACGAGAGACTGCTGAACCATGTGAGCACGGAAGCCTGCACTGGCTCTCTGCTCATGCCTTCCTTCAGAGACAGCATCTGTCTTAGACTCACCACAGTGCCCTTAACTCTCAAAATCACTCACCTACCTGTGATGGAGGAAAAGAAAACACTAGCCAGTAAAGAAGCAAAATAATATTTGCAGTTTCTTTTAAAAGAACATGTAAGTATTAAAGACAGAAGAAAAAGAATCATTACTACACAACTATGTAAAGTGTGACTGACTGTCTTTGGGATTTACTTCAAACACAAATTGAAATTTACTGCTTCTAAGTTAAGCATTATACAGTAAGAGACAATTACAATTATGATTACTAATTGAGTTGACTTATCTCTAGTTTCTTTCTTTCTTGAGACAGGGTCTCATTATTCCTGGAACTGGCTCTGTGTACCAGGCTGGTCTGTAATTCAGAGTGCCTGCCTCTGCCTCCCCAGTGCTAGGATTAAAGGCGTGGGCCACCATGACCAGTCCTCAGAACACTGCTATAGAGTAGCAGGTATTAGGAACTGGAGCGACTTATCTCTAGTTTCTTGAAAACGTGCCGAATCAACCATGCTTGAGGCTAACCTGAAATGTATTTTTATTTGAGTGATCCATCCCACTGTTTCTTTTAAGCAGACCCGGTGCTGAGCTAAGTAACCTAGCTAGATTTCAGCCCAGGGCAGGCAGGCGTTTCACACTGGGGCAGTCCGCGGTGGTCGTCATCCAAGGACATGCTGGAGAAACTGTAGTGCAATCTTCCATGCTGTACGCACATGCTCCATTCACATCTGGGCCTCACCCAGGGTGTCAGGGGCGGGGCTAAGACGGAAAAGGGTTTCATGATGGCAGTTTCTATAAGGAAAAGGGGTGGGGGGTTAAACATTAATTTCACATCACCAACTATTTATTAGGTATTTTATACTCTATGATACACCCAGTAGTGGCTACGTGCAATTCAAGTGAACTGCATTCGTGTACAATGTTTAGAGATGGTTCTTTATTGCTATCTAAAGCAATCAACAGAAAGCAGACGTAGAAATGCTATTAAAATCAAAAACCTTTCTGCTAAAAGACAAAATCTCCTGGGTAAATTGGGAGCATAGGGACTTTGGGAGAGGGTTGAAGGGGGAGGGGAAAGGCAGGGAGGGGAGCAGAGAAAAATGTAGAGCTCAATAAAAATTAAAAAAAAATTAAAAAAAAAAACAAATAAAAAAACCTTTCTGCTGCAAAAACTACACTACCAAAAAATTTCAGACACCCACACAATAGGAGAAATTATTTTCAAATCACACATCTGGTATCAATAGGCAAAGGAGACTTAGAATATTTAAGACAACTCACTTTGAAAATGGGTAAATATTTCTCTAGTGACACAGAAGGTACTGAATATCACTGATCATTAAGAGAAAGGAAATAAAAACTGCATGAGTTCCTACTCCACATCTTCAATGGCTACAGTCACATGATAGGCAGGAGCAAGCGCTGGTGAGGATATGGCGGGGGAGCCCGTGCACAGCAATGGTGGAAATGTAAAGACGGAAGAGCCGCTCTTCACCACACCTATGCAGCCTCTAGATTCACACAGACCCAGGACCCGGAAAACACACAGAAGAGTGTTCCCAGCTGCATCCTCCTCACAGGTAAGAGGCAAACGAGGGAGTCACCAGCTGACGAATGAACGGGTGAATCAGATGACCAGAACCACACGCAAGGATGTGACCAGACATAGAAAGAGTCTAAGCCAGAGCAGGGCACACCGAGGAACACACTTGCTGAATGAAGGGAGCCAGACACAAAAGCACATACGATAAGGCTATACGAAAAGCACACACGATGGTCAGCACAGAGGGAGGGCTAGCGGCATTTCTGTGTGATGAAAACACTTAAAAATAGAAAGCAGTGCTTATAGAACTCTGAACATACTAAAAACACCAAGATGTACGCTTTGAAAAGGGTAAATGTATGAAATGAGAATATCAATATGAAAGGGAAATAGGTCTTTGCAAAATCAAAACAACTCTTTATATTCAGAAACATAAAAATATTTATGCCTCAAAAAATCTACTTTTTTTTTTTTGGTTTTTCGAGACAGGGTTTCTCTGTGGTTTTGGAGCCTGTCCTGGAACTAGCTCTTATAGACCAGGCTGGCCTCGAACTCCCAGAGATCCGCCTGCCTCTGCCTCCCAAGTGCTGGGATTAAAGGCGTGCGCCACCACCGCCCGGCCAGTACAGCAGCTTTAGCAAATACTGTAAACCCTTAAGGCACAAAATGTATTTCCTTTGCCTTTTTATCACATTTCACGTCAACACCAACCAATCTGAACTATAATAATAACCCTCTTACCTTCCTTTCCTTAGACTGAGTTTTAACACCCACTTCTGGTCCCTACAACTCTATGGCTAGAATCCTTACCCTCAGAAAACATGGTGAACAAACTCAACCACTGCAAATTCATCAGAAGTGCAGTTTACTATATTTTAGCCTGATCAGTCAAACTGAGGTCTTTGCCTTAGGGCAATCAGAGCTACAAACTGGCATACAAGGCGGAAACACCACCATTCTCCCCTCGACAGGCTTGGCTGGCAGGTACAACAGAGGCAGGAGAAAAGCCCAAATGGGGACATATATAAAGTCCCATTTAGTTGGAGATTCTTTCACTGATCAATGCCAAAAGGAAAAGGAAGATGGCTGAAGCTTAAAAGTTATAACTAGCTTTAGCTTTTTAAAAAGTCGGAGACAAGAGGAAGCTACAGAGAGCTAGTCATCTGTCTGAGGTTATGTTTAGTGCCAGTTTGGGAAACGCCCCCCCAAAAGCCTGTGTGTCAAAGGCTTGGCCCCTAGCACGAGGCACCTGGACAAAAGAGGCCAGGTCTTCCGGGCAAGTCCTTGAGGATGCTCTCTGGACCTGTTCCTCCCCTTCTCCTCTCATCCTCAGCCAGAGGTGAACAGGTCCCCTTTGTCACATTCTCGCCATGGCCTGCAGCGTGCTCACAGGTCAACAAGTAAGGACAATCAAACCCACGGCTGAAGTGGGTCAGGATAAACTTCTCGGTTATTTCATTGTTTTAAAGTAACCGCTGAGGGACACGCTCAGTTACACAGCCATTCAATTTATAGCTGAAAAGGCCTTTAAAGAGCCCACCAAGGGCTGGAGAGATTGCTCAGTGGTTAAGAGCATTGCCTGCCCTTCTAAAGGTCCTGAGTTCAATTCCCAGCAACCACATGGTGGCTCACAACCGTCTGTAATGGGGTCTGGTGCCCTCTTCTGGCCTGCAGAGATACACACAGACAGGATATTGTATACATAATAAATAAATATTTTTTTTTTTAAAAAAAGAGCCCACCAAGCTGGGGATTTATCAGTGGCAGACAGCTTGCCTGTTACCGAGGGCATAGCAGAAACAAAGCTGGCCTTATATATTTTTTTGAAATCGGGTCCCATTATGCAGCCCAGTCTGGCCTCCAACTGCACAGCCTTCCATTTCCTGATTTCTGGGTTGTGTCCAAGAACCCAAGGCAAGACAGGTAAGAGATGGAAATCCTGTGTCGGTGCCTGGAGCCAGTCAGCCACCACTGCTATCTCTACCCTTGTTCCGGGGGTGCATCTTGAGGACAGTTTCTGGTCAGCCAGCTAAAACATTCTGTTTGTTCCTGTGCTCCCTCTGCCCTACCTGGTGATTAGCTGTAGGGCATTGTTGACTCCATCTTTGGCATGGTAATTTCCCACCTGCCTGGGCGGAAATCCTTGTGCAGCAGCTAGGTACCTAAGGATTTCCCTAAGGTTGAATAAAGGGCATTCGGCTGATCTCCTTTCGAATGACCCAGGTCTCTTTGTGTGTTCTTTCAATCTCCAGGCCCTTGGTCAACTCGCATACAGTACAGTGGCACGCACTGTACCTAGGGGGTGTTACACTCACTGTGTGGAGGTGAAGAGCTGACAACACCTTAGCCCACAGACAGGCATGAACAACTGTAAACACACATACCGGTTGCTTCTTTTTGATGTATATAATATGAATGTCTTCACTTCGGTATTCCTCATCGTGTTTGTCCAAAGGAACTTCCTCAAAGTCAAAGTCTAGTTGAAGGAGCTGTAAATTTCAAGGACACAAATGTTACACTCAGTAATCTGGACAGCCTTATGATAATGAAATTGGATGACAGTCACCTCTGGAGAATGGCTGACTGGTAAGGGAAACGTGGAAACCTTTTCAAGCCTGGAAACGTTCTGTATCTTTATGTTGGAACAGTTATTTGGATGGAAATGCATGAACTGAGATCTTGATATACGTGCATTGGATATGTTTTTTTTTTTTTGGTTTTTCGAGACAGGGTTTCTCTGTTTTAATTAAACACAAATTACTTTAATTATACATAATTTCAAAAGTTCAGTAACATTTTCTTATATTCATGCAAAACATGGATCTCATTTTAGCATATGTTATCTGAGGGACTCACATACTTGCTTTGTCATTACGCCAAAGCAGTTCTTTCGCCAGGCAAAATTCCAGGACGATACAGAGAGCTCCAAAACAAGCCAGTTTTTAAAGAGGTGAATTTGTGCCCATGAAAGGGTCTAGGTCACTACTGGGGGAGAGTGAAGGAGAGATATGGGCAAGACAGGCACGCCTCTTAAAACTTTAAAAATAAACAACAGCCAAAACCTGAAGGTCATTAACGAGGTAAAATGAGTAATAACAACACAGAAGATTCGCCGCCCACGCATTTCTACCACGTGTTCTTTAAAACGCATCACCCGAGGAGCTTACAAAGCCAGCCCTGTGCTGACCGGCGCTGAAAGCTGTCTCAGAAAAGACAAGTTTGTCATCACCGATCCCTGACACCGTCTATATGGACTAGTGAGATCAGAAAAAACTCAGGACCTTTGGAAGAGCAGGCAATGCTTTTAACCACTGAGCCATCTCTCCAGCCCCCTCCTTGGGTTCTTATTGAGAAAGCTTTGCCCAATGAACTCGCCAGGGCAACCACATACAGCTCCCCCATAGGGTGACTGCCACACACAGTACTCACCTCAAAGTATTTTTTCTCAATTTCTGGATTTTTCCCCATTGTACGTTGTTCATAACAACATATGATACAAGTTTCAGATCCACTGAGATCTTTTAATGTTTTCAGCAATGGTTCCAAGGACTGTAAAGAAAAGAATTTCCTATTATACGAAGGGGTCAGGAGGTGAAGAGGTCAACTGCCCTATAACCAAACCATTCTGAGTTGATACAACAAAGCAGCATTCTACAACTAGACTGGTTATACTGAGTTCTATCCCTCCAACAATAGTCAGACAGACAGACAGATAGATAAAAAACCAAGGACTAAGCCGGGCGATGGTGGCGCACGCCTTTAATCCCAGCACTCGGGAGGCAGAGGCAGGCGGATCTCTGTGAGTTCGAGACCAGCCTGGTCTACAGAGCGAGTTCCAGGACAGGCTCCAAAACCACAGAGAAACCCTGTCTCAAAAACAACAACAACAAAAAAAAAACCCAAGGACTAGATCTTGTTTCCACAGAAACACAAGCAGACTTGCCTGTGTCTCTTTTGTCTGTCTTGAACTGGGGTGTGTTATATAGACTAGGCTGGCAGTGACCCCTCTTCCAACCTCTCAAGCGCCAGGAGTTATGTATCACCATGCCTGGTTAGTTTCAAATCTTAAAAGTCTAATTTCGTTTAACCGAAGTTAGGGTATTTAAACAACCAACAATATATTCTACAAAAAATAAGCCTGATCCTAACGGTTTAAGATTTATTTTTATTATTTTAACTATGTGTATGTATGTTTCTGTGTATGGGCATGTGCACAGTTGTTAGTGTCTGCAGAGGCCAGAGGAATGGGATCCCCCTGGAGTTGGGAGTTGGCCTGATGTGGGTGCTGGGAATTGAACTGGGGTCCTCTGGGAGAACAGTATGTGCTCTTAACTGCTGAGCCATCTCTCCAGCCTCCTGACCTAATCTGAACCCAATCAGTTGGCTGAACAGTCATTAATTTAAAAATAAATATTTCTCAACACTGTATAAATTGATATGTAAAAAAAACTCACCCCACAAGTGTAGTAACTCTTGCCACTGAAAATTAACTAATTTTTTTTTTTGGGGGGGGGGGGTCCTCACTCTGTGGTCTGTGCTGGCTTAGCAGGTATGCCAGTCATCCTGCCTGGGCCGCCCAGGTTCTGGGATTCCAGGTGTGAGCCATCACGTCTGACTTGCATCTTAATTTTCAACATCATGGTTAATAATCAGTGAGAAAGAAAAGGAAAGAGAGAAGGGAGGGAGGAATTTCAATTTTTCAAGATATATCCAAATGGGAAAACCCTTTTAAAATTAGAATAGAAAGCACGTAAGTTTTCTCAAGCACTACTCACAGGCCTGTCTGTTTATCCTGAATTGTACATACATGCGGAGCCTGATGACTGTCTTTACTGCAAACACCCCGCACGCAGAGGCGTTACAATGGGAAGGAATGCGGGCTTCCGGACACACGAAGTAGCCAGCGCACTCGACACTCACCTCTTCATAGTATATGCAGTCAGCCATCAATATGTAATCCGGCGAAGTCACGTCTTCTAGTTCTTCCCCCCTTAAAAACGTCAAACGTATGTCTTTAACCGATGCTTTAACAATTTGCAGTATTCATTTCAGAAGCGAGAAGCAGAAAGTTTCCCACATATTAACAACGACTTGGGCAAAAATCAATGGAAAGCAGATGAAAGCGGTTATCTTAAAACAAGCTGAAATGCCATACAAACCATTTCAGTACCTTGGCTTGAACAGAGCCGGTCACCAGATGCTTGTTCATATTAATATTCATTTTCAGCAGGTCCTGCAGCTCCTCAAGATCAGTGACTACAACATCTGCCCTGAAAAACAACCTCGATTGGGTACAGGCGCAAGGCTGCGCGCCGGTGACCTGACGCCTTCCCGCCAGCTCTTACCCGAGGGTCGCGGCCATGAGCCCCACGGCCCCGGTGCCCGAGCCCAGCTCCAGCACCGAGCGGCGACTCAGCGCGTGGGCCCCGTCGCCAGAGAACCCCGGCGTCTCCAGGTATTTGGAAAGGACGATGGCGGCATCCCACACAACGCAACCTACGCCTCCCGAGCCGTACTGCTGCAGTCGAAGCACCGTCCCGTCCCGCTTCTCCAGAACCCGCACAAAGCTCCACAGCGGGTCCTCCACCTCCGGGTCCACGGCGGCCGCCATTGCTGCCACCAGCGGCTGCGTACGCGGTGACGTCACGCCCACGCAAGGCCCGCGCCGCCCAGCGGCAGGCTGTTTCACTGCGCGTGCGCGGGTCTCGAAGCCCGGAAGCAGCAGGAGCTAGCAGAACCTACCTGGGAGTGGCCTGGCTCGTCGTGACTGAGATCAGCCCTTAGAGAAACAAAGCAAATGCCAGTGCTTTTTCTTGGCTCACACAAAGCTGTAGGATATAGATTTAGGCAGCTTCCCAGGTCCTATCAAAAATTGTTATGTTCAAGAAGTTTCCTACTGTACATCTACTTTTTTCATATTGAATGCATAAAAAAGATTGCCTGGGAACTTGCTACTTGCTTTCAATGGTAAAGAAAACTTAACCCTGTAATATTTGCGTCTCCCTGGGGCCAAAAGATGGCCAGCAAGACCAAGGACCTGAGTTCCAGGACTCACTTAGTAAAGAACTGCCGGTTGGCCTAACTTTCACACTGGATCCGTGATATGCACACTACACAAATACACACGTGTAAATAGGCAGGCAGATGAGAGATTCTTCTAGACTTTGTTTTTTCAGCTTTGTAGGTTTTGTTTTGTTTTGAGGTTGGTCTCCTGAATCCCAAGTAAGCTTCAATCTCATTATGTAGTTGAGTCTGGCCTTGAAATCGAGATCCCTCGGTCTCAACCTCTCAAATACTCGGATTACAAGGTGTGCGCCTCTGTACCCAGCTTCCTTTTGTTCTTTGTGATGAAAAACAATATCGCAGATCTTTTAAAAATTAAGACTGAGGTGATTTATTAATTTTGTTAAGAACTCTGATACAAAGCACAGTAGAAGGCCACAGACCGGTGGATAAAGAGCGTGGCTTTGGGCTACTTTACACTGCTGCTACTGCGCCCTCAGCACAACGTGCTTTGAGCACGCTGAACGAGGGCGTCCAATGACAAAAGCTTTATCCTCTGTCTGATTAAAAATTTTAATAAAGCTTTAAGTATTTTCTGTTTAAATATTACCAATCTGGAAAAACTTTTAAAAAATTTCAATTAACACAAGATTAAAGAAAGTTACTAGGTTTTGAAGACAAGGCAGTTGGCAGTTGGTTCCTATGCCATAAGAAACTTTTGTTCTTGACTTACAAATTAGTAAAATAGCAGATTGTATTATAGGCCTCAAGTCACTTAAATTTATATAGGTTATTAGCATTATCTTTAAATATATACAATATAAATAAACTGTACATACATGGCATATTAACTTTGTTTTCCCAAACAAGAGGCAAATCATTAGCTAAAGACACCATACACTGCAAAACTAAAGGTGCATCTTAACGAGATGCATCCCCTTTTCTTCTGTAATCGGGTTATGTAGAATTGTTTATAATTTTAACAAAATAATAAACAGTGCATTCTATTGTTTCCATTCTAGTTTCCGTTTTTGTCTTCAGCAGCAAATACTGGCATTAAGACATGGCATCAAGAGTTTAAGAACAGGTGTTATTCACTAGATGTAAAACCAAGTTAAAACCTTGAAGATGGTCAAAGAGGGCTGAAAACCCAGTAACATCATAGTACATCTCTGTATCTGTGGAAATTCATTGCCTTTAAGGTACCTATTACTCCGATGTGAGTGATTCCTCGAGAACACTACCCCCTTTCAGTGCAGTATCATTTAAGCCATATGTTAGCAGAGTCTACAGTGCAAACAGAAATTCATTATACTGGCCTTTGGGCAGCACTGAGGAGCTGAGAAGAGGCAAGGCTACTGATCACCTGAGGGTTACGGTGAAGGGCTTTTGCATTTTAATGTTTAGAATTCTTTTCTTGGTTTTGTTTTCTTGAAACAGGGTTTCTATGTGTAGCCATGACTGTCTTGGTACTCGCTCTATAGACCAAGCTGGCCTTAAATTCAGAAATCCATCTGCCTCTGCTTCAAGAGTGCTGGGATTAATGGTGTGTGCCACCATGCCTGATGATTTTTCTAATTCCTAGAAGCTTATTTGATCAGTAGCATTTTGTAAGAGCTTTATTTGTAGAAAGTACTAAAATACTATGCCTCTTCTGAATAAATTAAAACCTTTACAAATACTATTCCAGTGTCAATGACTACACACAGCTAAGGTCATTGAGGAGTTTCTGCATTTTCGAGCAAAGGCAGTCTGTACAACGGTGGGTGTGAAAGCTCCCGTTTGTAAGTCTTTGGTGGCAGTTTTGGTAGGTGAGGGCTTGAGTTCTGCCGTGGTGGAACAGGAGGAGCTGGAGGATGCACAAGAGCGCCGTGGCTGGAACTGAGCAAATGGCTTCTGCGTGGCACTCGTGGCGAGGGCGTGCTGGGAGGAGTGCTTGGCGAACTCGGACTCGAACTAGCGTCTCTGAGCCAGTCTGGGTCTCTGTGGGGATGTCCCAGCGGAGGTGGCTGAAGGTTAAACGGGCAGTTTATAAAGTGTTCTGGCGGCCGAAGAGGAACTGGTGGGGGGGTATCAGGAAGAGGCTCTCTCGGAGGGGGTGGAGGTGGACTGTGCACAGGCCCATCAAAAGCAGCCACGGGAACAGGAACTCTCGGCTTTACCTTTGGAGGGGGCGGCTGTCTTGGTGGAATAGCAGGGGGGTCATCATCAGATTTCATAGTTCCCTAAACAAAACAAAAAGGCACGTGTCTAGTCTCTGGAAAAATATGTAAGATAATTTTAAAAGACCGAAAATTTTTTTCTGTGTCATGTTAAATCTAGAGGGCCAAATTAAATGAATGTGGTTTAACTATCACCTTCCTGACTAAATTACTCTCAGTTTAACTCTGGGCTCAGTTTAACATTCGGATATAAGATGTTTCACTGAAATCTAAAAACATGAAGCCCCATATCATCTTGCTTTGTTTCCAACATTTTAGAAATTTATAAAGCTTATTTATGGCAATAGGCCAATAAAAATAATACAGTTTTATAGGCATGAAAGGACATGGCATCAACAGCCTTTAATATCTAGCTTCTACTTTTAATTTTCCCCATGGCACTTAAAGCAGTAGATCTCAGAGTGGTACCCAGGGACCAACAGCATCAGTCCCAGTAAGGGCTGGCTTAGCATAGCCCATTCCCAGGCCCAATTGCAGCCTTACAGCCTGGAGCTCAATAACTACTTGTAAGACGTCTTCCAGGTGATTCTGACATGCCTGTGCATTTGAGAAGCACTGGTCTAAAGTTCTCCGGTTCTTTAAAATAGAATTCCAACACCACCCCCATCTGTACATGGAAGACAATGCACTTCTGATTATCTGAATTTTCACACTTTTAAAAAAAGATTTTAAAAACTTTATTAAACAATTACTTAAGCTATTTTTCAACTATGACTATCTAAATGTTGAAACTCTGTAGAGTGTGGCTAAATTATGATTGACATACTGTAAAAATATTCTAAAAACAAGCGATTTTGTAGATCAACAACTCTGCGTAAGTTGAGGCAAATCCAGGTTTGAATGACTACCTTAGAATTTGAAGCATCATGATCAACTTTTTTCCGAGGAGGAAGGGGAGGAGGAATCAGTGGCTCTTCACTCAGCTTGTGTATGCTTCCACATGAGCTGAAGAAGGTCTCTGGGGGAGAGGAGACTGGCTTACAATCACAGTGCAGTTACAGGACAAAACTCCACTCAGCTACCATGTTTGTCAAGTGGTTTAGTCTCACACAGCTGTTTGTCTGTTCATCTATCTTCCCCACTGAAATTCTAAGCACTAGAGAACACCATTAGCATGTGTTTGTAACCCTAGCATCTACCATAGCAACTGGCATTTAATACTTAGATGAAGGCACATTATTAAGATTAATAATCAAATTCTAAACTGGTCCTGGTGGTGCAGGCCTGTAATCACAGCTACTTGAAGTACTAAGGGAGCAGGGTTATGAAGTTCAAGGCCAGCCTAGGCAATTCAATGACTGTTTTTAAAATAAAACGTATATTAAAAGAAAATAAAATTGAGGATATAGCTCGGTGGTAGAATGCTTGCCTAGTGCGCATGAGACCCGAGGTTTGACGATCAGCACCTTTAAAACAAAACAGAAGGCCTTCTCTAAAAGCATTTTAAAAATTCAAAACAAAAGTCAGGCAATGGTGGTGTACACATTTAATCTAAGCACTAAGGAGACAGAGGCAGATGGATCTCTGTGAGTTCGAGGCCAGCCAACTACAGAAGTTGTTCCAGGACAACCAGGGATGTTACACAGAGAAACCCTGTCTCAAAAAAACTAGTAAAACAAAACAACAACAACAAACCACCTGAGAATGTGTGCACACACGTGGTGGTGCACTAGCTTCCAGAAGAATTCCATTCTAAGCAGAAACTATTTCCAATGCAAAGGAGATCTAGGTATCTAGATCTAGGAGATTATGCATAAGCAAGCAATCCTAAATTACAGTTTGTAATATAAATATTACTAATGTACTCCACTATATTTCAAGCAATCACAGTAAGATGTGCACATCTGATGGATTATTTAAAAAATTAAACTATTGCAGCTATAAATAATGAATAAACACCAATATAGCATTGCCAAATCTTTAGAACAATGAAAAATGAGTAAGATGCAAGAGAAATGTACTGATATTTCTCTCTGATTTAGAAAGTTATGGCTTTTACTGGGCTTTGTGTATTTGCACTGAACACTGAGAAACATTTCTAGCCTTGAAGACAGGCTTTTATGATTGTTTTAAAAAGGAGACTTTTTTCTTCACTGCCACATGCAGCAGCTTCACTGTGCACCTGACCTGGAGACTTTTCTCTGGAAAGTCAGCTTGCTCAGGGACCACATGGCAGAGCTAGGGCCAGTGCTATACGTGTGTAGCTAATACACAGAGAAAGGACATTTCCACCATAGAGCAAGAGAAACCTAAATAAGCTTCAATAAAGACAGGAACTGAAGCTTCAGTTAGTGATGGAGCCTATAATGTACTCACTGCCTCAGAGACACCAAGAAGGACACTTTCAGGTTAAAGAGAAAGCATTGCAAAGGTCCAGAGCAGTTTCCTAAGGGGCCTGACTTCATGGAAAA